TATTTTCTGTTTTTAGAAGGCTCTCCTTCCTTGAATATTTATTTATTTATTTCTGGTGGTGCTGGATTTGGAACTGAGACCCTTCCTATTGAGCCACATCTCTAGCCTGTTATTTTATCATTTTGAGGTGGAATCTTGCTAAATCAGTAAATTGTCCAAACGAGGCTCAGACTTTCAATCCTCCTGCCTCAGCTTCCTAGAGTGCTGGGATTACAGGTATTCTCTGCATGGCTTTCTAACCATTATAAATAAAATTTGATAATCTCTTTGGGCATAGTGATTTTTTAAAAAATTAGTCTTCTACTTTTTCAAAACAAGAGCCCAGTGGGTGGCAAGGCTGCTGCTCAAACACATTCAAGATATGCTGCGGTCAGCTGCCCTCAGTGCAGGCTGCTCAGGTCATTGGCACCTGGCCCCTGGCTGGTAGTGAGCCTCCCAGGTGGCAGCTGGGTGGGGCTGGAAGAGGGGAATGAAGAGGAGGCAAAGGAGAGGCTGTGTCTGGAGGTGGCTTGATGAATTCCCTTCTTGGGCTGGGCCTGCAAGGGTTCTTCCAGCAGGGCATGGGAACCAGAGTAGGCCTAAGGGAGACAGTGCCAGGAGCATGAGTAGTGGTGCTGGAAACTTCTTCCTGATGCAAGATTGGTGTGGAGGCCAGTTCAGCAGCTCCCAGCAGTGCCTGCCACGGTGAGCAAATCCAAACCTCCCTCCCTCCTGGTACAGGTCCAGGATGGCAGCTCCCCAGGCCCAGGAGGCTGCACACCCACAACCTAGGCGTGGAGGTGGGGCTTCTCTAGACATCTGGGGTGGCAAGAGAGCCAGAGCCCGGAGTGGGCAGGGGACAGAGGAAGTAAGAAAGCCAGGTCCAGCCATCTGCAGTGCAGACCACTCTGGAGGTGGCATCATTGCCCGCCTCAGTGTTGCTTCCAGCTGGCGCCCTTAAAACTAGCACAACCTGGGTTTGTAGGGAAGAGGAGGGAGGTAGTTGTGAAGTGCAGCCAGCATGAGAACAAAGAAGGCTTTACAGAGAGGGAGGCACCTTCCACTGAGGCCTCAGGGCCTGGGGAAGTGACTCAATGCGCCCCGGGATGGACCCTCCCATGGGGGCTCGAGAGGTAGAGAATGCAGCCCAGCTGCCCAAGCCTTGCGGGGTGGGGTAGAGCTTGTCAGGCATAGGGGGTGGGGCTGCCTCCAGCTTCCCTCTCCCTCAGGACCTGGTGTGCCTCCAGCCCGCGGGGTCTTGGTGATGGCCCTGTGCCTCATTAGGCACAGCCAGGCAGGGGCTGCTGCCAGTGTGGCTGTCGATGCTCGGGGCTGGGCTGTGGGCGTGGTCCCCTCGACCAACTCGCTCCCAGTAGGGTCCAGGGTTTTCCAGCTCCCCACAGAGCCACGTTGTCCCCCTGCCAGAGCGAGGCACTAGTGCCACCCGAAAGTGGCGTCCGGCTGTCCTGAATGTATGAGATGAGAATTTGCTGAGAACTTGGAGAGTCTTTGCTGCACACCCCGGCTTCTGGGGCAGTTGGACAGTTGCACAATCCCCTTTCAATTATTCTCCGTGGAGTGTGTGGCAACCGGGCGAGAATTCCAGGACCTTGTACTTACTCGTACAAATCTGCCTTCTTGCTGTTTGGCTGCCGGGCCAGGCGTGGCTCTGCGGGCCCCGGGAAATGGGGGTGTGTTCGCGTCCAAGAGGGCGTGGCCCGCGTCCAGCCGGAGCAGCCACCCTGCCCTGCTGGTGCTGTCTGCTGGCCCCAAACCACAGCTTCTTCAGCAGTCCTGGACCAAGGCCAGGACAGCAAGGAGGAAGCTCTGGTGACATTCTCGACATGGGTTTTGAACAGCAATCTTGGCGTACAGCAATTTCAGCTAGTGATTTTTCTTGTTTTTTTAAGTGGTATTGGAAATTGGTATTTTGCTCTGAGTGGACCCAGATCTTTTTATTTTGAAACAGGAGCTTGCTATGTCACTAGGTTTTCCAGGCTGGGGTCGAATTTGAGATCCTCCTGCATAGCAGGGATTACATGTGTGCACTATCATGTTTCCCAGCCAGTGATTTCTGTGTAAGGATCACCCTAGAGTCAGCTCCTGGTGACTCAGCTGTTACTTTTGGGCCACGGCTCTGCGTCAAGGAAGGGCACTATTCTGTTCAGCCAGGGGGCCAAAGGAAGCTGTCGGACTGGCTGTTATGGATGCTGGAAATAAAGACAAAACTGCACATGCAGCTGTGTCCTTTGTGCTTTTCCAGGGAGTGTGCTTGCCTCTTTCTCTAGGCCTCTCATTAAAATTTCTGAGAAGTCTCCTTTGCTATGGACTGGTGTCCAAAGCTGAGAGATTTCGGGCTCCAGAGGTATCTCTAGGGTGCCGGGGATTTAGCTCAGCGGCATAAACACCTGGCTTGCAAGTGCAGGGTCGTGAGTTTGATCCCTGGTACCAAAAAAAAAAAAAAAGACCAAAAAAAGTATATCTAGAATTTAGAGTAAGCCATGTTTGGTGTCATAACAAGCCAGGGAACTATGATATGGGTTTTTTTCTGGATATGGGTTTTTGCTTGGATAACTATCTGGAGCGTCATGTAAACACTTGGAAGTAAACAATTAGCCCCATGGACAGTCACCTTTCGAGCCCCCTGCAGTGGCTGGCACCAGCTGACCAACAATAACTGGGGCTTGTTCTCTCTCACAGTGTTTGGGGGAGATAAGATCTTTTGCAGCAAAGCAAAGACCCTTTGGATAACTGATGTCCAAAAATCTCAGTGGTCACCTTGGTCCACTTTTCAAAGGCATAATTTTATGACTTGTTTCAAAGATAGCAAAAATTCTACCCAACACATTGTTCCTCTGGAGGTGGAGCTGTGAATAAGGATGATGGTGACAGAAACACAAGCAACCTCTTTCCTATGGGCAGACTGCTACCAGTGGGCAGACATGGCTGGATACACATTTTTGGGAGCAGCTCCTTCCTAGGAGTGGGCCCTCTCCCACTCTGTCGAGACCCTGGCCTGAAGAGCTCACTGTGCACAGGTAGTTACCCCATTTGTTCAGCTTTGGAGCTTGTGGGAAAGCAACTGCCATCCAGAATTCCCAAACCAGATGCAAGGATTAGTGTAGGATTAGGGGTGTGAGGTCCCTGGGGCTGGGCTCTCTCGCACTGAAAGCTCATAGAGAAATGGTCCTGAACTCACAGAGCACAAGATGGTGAGGACCGAAGTCCTGGAAATGAGGTCTACAAAGAATGAGGTCAAATCCCTGGATGGATATTCCTTTTGTCTGTCTGTTGTCTGTCTTCCTCTCCCTCTCTCATGCTTCTTCCCTCTTTATTCCTTCCTTCCCTTCAGCACCGGAGACTGAACCCAGGACCTTTACTCTGAACTACATCCCAAGTCCTTTTTAAGTTTATGAGACAACGGTCTTGTTAAGTTGCTAATTTGCCCAGACTGGGCTCACACTTGCAATCCTCCTGCCTCAGCCTCCCATAATTCTGGAATTATAGATATGTGCCACTATGTCTGCCTTCACCCCTCACTGGAGCAGTTTCTTTTGGGTTACCTTAGAAAACTGTGATGCTTCTGAGACCAAGTCATGACTGGTTTTATTGCTGCCAATAAAACTGAGTACCTTTTTCAAGATTATCTGTTAAGTCCTCTAGAGAACACCAGGCTGCCCAGAATCTGTTGTCAGGAATGAGTTTCTGCTAGAAAAGGATTCTGGAGGGAATGTGCTTTTTTCCTCTCTGCCCAGTCCATGAATTTAACAGTTTTATCTAAGTAAAGTTATCACTGTTTAGTTTCCTTCAAGCAGGTGCCCTTGACCATCTTCCTCAGATCAGTGTGAGGTTATAAAATAAAGCAGGGAAATTGTCCTGGGTTTTATGTTGGACATTAGAGCTTTATCTTTTTAACTCCATTGTAGGTTTCCATGGATACTTACAACAAACTTCTAATGAGAAGTCTCACAGTAATAAAGACAGGCTCCGCATTTGACAATTCACATTAAAATCATTCCTCTGTACTTAGCAATTAATTTGAAGGACATGCACTTGTAGATAATTTAAAACTTGTAGCAATAAACAAAGCAGGCTTCTATCCTACATAGTGATCCGCATACTTCAGTGTAGCTGACAAGTCAGAGCTTCTACCAGCCATCTCTGCAAGGAGCTACCTCCTTTGGGTAGGGATGGAGGGAAGCAGAGAGTCCAGATGTGTCTTCATCACACAAGAGACAAGACCAGTATTATCTGGCTGCCTTGGGCTTCGCCTGCCTACCTGAAAGTCAACGGTTCTGGTCTGGTATGGTCTGGATTACCTGGCTATGATCATTGTACCGTGGCTCCAGGTTAGCAGCTGCGCTGTCTGTCAGTTGTCCCTCCGGCTCTATCCCAGCTGCTCTGCCTCCAACTGAAAGCCCCCATTTCTATACGCTCTTATCTTGTCACCTACCATGTGTGTCTTAATGTGTCTTCTTGGGCTGTCCGACTACTCACCTCTCTCCTGCCAGAGGGGAGGTGATAGCCTGATGGAATGAGGCCATCCTGGCAGACAATATTCTCAAAAGAACACTCGTCTGCCTCTTGGGCAAGGAGGGAGGGCAGCCTCCATTGCACTCAGCCAACAGCAAGTCTTCTCCTGGTCAAAGGCTTAATGGACCTAGTTTTGTTTCCCTAGTGCTCACGTGTGCTTTCTCTGCTCCTTTCTCTAACACATTAGTGGCTTGACTCACACATGGATAAAACTGGCAGTGCCAAAGGCTTACTGCAAGCCGAGTCCAGGGCTGCTGCCTTCACTCCTGAGCCAAACAGGGTGCACTCCAGGTGCTGGGGGACCATGCAGCTGCTTAGGGTCCAACCCGCACCAGAGCCGTCAGCCCAGGAAGCTCTGGGATATGGATTTAGGATAGATACTCAAGGTCCAATTCTAAGGCCAAGCCAAATCCCAAGTCATTATGCAAGCCAGAGAACCATCTTATGGCTGCTTCAGTGGACTAAAATCAAAGTGCTAGAGCTGTGTATAATTTATAAAATATCCTTTATTCTAAGGAACACACATAGTAGCTTAAAAAAACACACGCACACACATTTCTTAAAAGTTATGATTAATGTCATGACCTGGCTTGGAGCCCATGTAACCGGGACAGGGGCAGAAGCTGCCTGCTGTGGCTTTGCCCAGTTCTCTGCACTGCCAGAGGTTTGGTGGGAAACAGAAGAAGCACTGGCCCAGCTCTCTGTCCAGTTGCTCACAATTAAGAATAGTTTTGGAAAAAAAGAATAGTTTTGGGGTTTATGGAGGAACAGAAGTAACATTGCTACTGCTGGTATGTCATCAAAAGATTATAATATATCCATTCCAGGGAATGAAAAAATGTTTTAAAGAATGGGTAATCTGCAGTTATTGTTTATAGAGAAGGTATATTAGAATGGCAGCAATAGGGGAAGTTAGTATTTCCCTACACATTCAGAAATCCTCAGTTGATGTAAAACTCCCTAGGTGATGTAAAATTCTTGATTTACTTAAAAAGTAAAGAGCAGAGGAGAAGCCTAGCAAGTTTGTCCACCAAATTACATTGCACAGGGGGCCAGCAGCTGCTCTGTAGCCTTGGATGGGAAGCTGCTAATCTGTGCTCCCATCCCCTGCGGCAGGCAGAGGCTGTTGGGCCTCAGCAGGTGTGTAAAACGGTCCTGTGAGTTAGAACATATTCAAGTAGAAATGCAGACTCATTAAAATTGGAGGACTGGGCCAGGGATACAGCTCAGTGGCACAAGTGCCTGCCTGGCAAGTGCAAGGTCAAGAGTTCAATTCCTGGTACCAAAAATAAAAAATAAATTGTGGGACTACATGACACATGGGTCACATAGAGACCATGTTTGCTTAGCTGATCTTCAGTTGGCTGCATGGCTTCTCTTCTAGATTGTCCTATGCCACAGCCTGCCACCTTCTCATACCATTGTGTGGGATCCTAGAGAAAACATCACCTGTAACCAAAAGATGGCAAGTGGAAACCTCCGACCTTTAAGACTGGGCTCAAAAGCCCTCAGAAACCAGTCTGCCTTCCCGTTTGCATCTGGTTAGGAACTGTGAATCAGAATTCAGAAGCAGTGCTGCCCAGAGGGGACAGGCAGACACTGTGAAGAAATACCCAAATGCAATAAATAACACGGAGCTCAGGACCCTAGTCCCGCCCCTCCCCCAGCCACTACTGCGGGGTATTCTTGGCTTTGAACTGACGGACCCAAGGGAACAATTCCACCCCCAAACCTCCCTGCATATTATTCCCTGTGGGAACCCAGCTGCTGCTTCTTCTGCACAGGACAGAGCCTCAGTCTTTTGCTTTATAGCATCATTTATGGCATGAACTAGGAATGTAATGTGTTTACACAAACACACAACAATTGTACATCAGCATCTTTACAATATTAAAGGAGTCATATACAAGTCTACAGGCATTATACACGGGGTGCTGGCCTGGGTGCTCCACCCACCAGTCCTCTGCATTTTCTCCATCCAGGAGGGGCTAGCACGTGGGGAAGTACGACAAGGCCCAAGGTATCCGTCTTTGGGCTGTTGTCTGGGAGGCAGCAGATCTATGAGGATCCCCTCAGGGCCAATCCTCACTGGAATCCAGGGTCAAGAGTGTGAGGTATGCCCATGTCCAGGTATTACTACCAGGCTAGTGTAACATGTTTAACTAAAACTCGGTGTGCATTACTAGTGTGGGAAAAGCTGGAGCTGGGGGTGGCTCCCTGAGTGGGGACTCAAGAGGATGCTAACAGATAGGCCCCTTCATGGAGAGGCCCATTCCTGAGGTAAGGTGCAGCCTCCATCGCTGGTCTGATGGGGACAGACTTCTCTAGGAACCCAGGAGCGAGCACACACAGGACAGGACTGAAGGCTCCTGCACCTGAGCTGGTTGGGTGACCTGCTGAGTGCAGCCCTCAAGGCAGCAAAGGAGGTCTGAGATGGTTACATGAACCCCCCGGTACTCCCGTCCCCCGCCCCCAGCAGCCCTGCCCCTTGCGGACCCTGCTTCGACTCCTACAGCACTGTCGCACCCACATCCTTTTCCCCAGCCCCAGCTCTACAGGCCCCTGGGCCTGAGCATCCCACACCTCATCCACCACGTGGGCTGGCTGCACCTCCGAATGAGAACTGAGCACCAGATGAAGAAGCGTTGGTCCTTGGAGGCCTTGCTGTCTTGCGCAGTGACAGTTACTTCCATTTTAAATACTGTAGAAAAATAAGCCGTCTCTGACACAAGGAGACCTGCCAAGAGTCTGCCACATGCAGAGAAGGAGAAACAGCTGCTCGGAAATAGCTGGGGATGCCTCTGCTCACTGCGCCTCGGCAAGCAGAGGACTCTGCCCCTGACCACAAGGCCAAGGAGCTGGGAGAGCCGGCAGCGGAGTTCTGGCCACAGCATCTCTGGTCACAACAGTCCTTCAGTGGGCACATCTCCAGCTTCCCATGTTCTGTTGCCATGACACCTAGGGCCCTGGGGGCCCCTGAGATGGCTTCAGACCCTCCAGCCTCAAACTCAGTCTCAAGCCCACTGCTAAGCTCACAGAGACAAGACTCCCCAGCACTGTTTCTAGGTCTCTGGGAGTGACCCCAGGGCCGAGGCGCCTCAGGTGGGCACTGAGGCAGGGCCTAGTCCAGGGGCTCCTGCTTTATCCGGACGGCAGTGGGGTTGGGCTGAGGTCGCCGCTCCTCGCGGCAGAGCACGTACTCGCTGAACTGGGAGGAGTCCACACCACCTCCACAGGATGCAGCCACGCTGAAACCCCTCTGGAAGAGCCTCTCTAGGACCTGCCAGGGAAGAAAGGGGTCAGTAGTGTTAGCCTGCAAAGTTTGCTCAGCCTGGCTGGTGGGCAGCTGGACCCTAGACAGAGCTAGTAGCTACCTTGTCTGGCTAAGATCCCAGTCTAACTCACTAACAAAGGCCTCTACTTCCCCACTGCCAGGGTCTATACAGGACAGACAGGTGCAGCCAGATCCAGGGGCCCCTTGAGTTATTGGATCTGGGTGTGCTACTCCACCTGGGCTACAACCCTGCAGCCCTCAGGGTATGCGGCCTCTGGATTTGGAGAAGCAAAAAGAGCCTCTGGCCTGCTTCTCTCTTCTCCAGGGCATAACCAGCATACACATGGCCCCAGGCACCCTATCCTATCAGTTTCCAGTCCCAATAATGGAAAGCCCCTGCCCCCAGCCTCTGGGCAGCCACCTGCTTCTCTGAGCCAACAGTCCCAGATGCTTTGACTCCTGGGAGCTCATCAGCTCAAGGGAGCTCAGAGTAAAAAAAAAAAAAAAGAGGGAGTTTTAAGTATTTGAGTCTCTGCAGGCTTCCCGTCCAGGTGGATTTGTGCCTCTGTAAGAAAAGGCCCTGGGTCACTGTGTCTGACACCTGTGCCTTCCAACTAGCAGGTTTGTACCCACAGTCAATGTGATATGTGCATAAGGGATCTTTTCCCCACAGTTCATTCTGCACTAATCCCAAAATACAAGTCTGCCTCCAGACATGGTGGCGCATGCCTGTAATCTCAGAACTCTGGGAGGCTGAGGCAAGATCAAAAGTTCAAGTCCAGCCTGAGCAATTTAATGAGACCCTGTTCCAAAATTTAAAAAAAAGTGCAAAGGCCCTGGGTTCAACTCCCAGTATAAGGGAAAAATGAAAAGTTTCTCCTTGTGTGTGGAAAAAGCTGTTAGAAAATGGACCACCCTTTGAGCCTCTGAATCCTTTGACTCCTCCAGGAAGAGCCAGTCCAGAAATGCTCCGGGCAGTGGACGGGTACCTGTAACCCCAGGTCAGCAGGTGAGGATGTGGCTCCAGGCCTCTGTCCTACCTCTCCTGGTGCCTGAGTTTAATTTGCATCCAAAATCAGACTCTGGGTGTCAAAGAAGCACACTTGGTTAAAAGCACCCTGGGCCATTTTTATGCAACATCTTTTTGGGAAAAAAGAAACAGTACAGATCAATTTTTTTTTTAAGTCCATCCCCCAGGCTCCATCATTTAATTATGAGCAGGACATAAATTATGCATCAACATTGTTGCCTCTTCTGTAAGATGGCACGGAGGGCTTCACCATTTCAGGGATGGCACCTTCCTCCCGCTCGCTCTGTGCTCAGAGGTGAGACAGAAAGCGCAGTACCTGGTGCCCGCAGCCCTCACCTGCACAGAGTTGAGCCGACAGTAGCCATTGAGAGGAAAGCGGATGACATGTGTGGGGTCTTGGTTCCAGCCAGCGTTGACTGAGTTGCACATGACATCCCCGGTCTCGGGGAAGACCTCTTCGATAAGGGCCTTCTCACCACTGAGCGCAATGCGCTCACCCAGGTCCGGCGTGACTCGCACCACCAGGCAGTCACAGGCCCGGCTGCGACGCCGCTGCTCCTGCTCCTGCTGCCAGCGTTCCAGCTCTCGTACCATGGGCTGCAGCTGGTAGTACCGTGCCTCCTCGTACAGTAGGCTGAAGTCCTGCAGACATGTGGATGCGGGGTTGAGGGAGGTAGTCTCCACTGGAGGTGAGAATATGCCCTTTCTGCAGGAACTGTGACCCGTGTAAACTTGGGACGGTTTTCCCCATTGTACAGATGAGCAAATGAGACTCAGGAGAAGGTGTGTGCAGGCCTAAGGAATCTAGCTGCTATTTGTTGTATACCTACACCCTTCCATCTGGCCCTAAGCCCTGGATGCCTTCATCTTCTTGAAGCAAAGAAGCTTTATGGAAAGACTAGGGAACTACATGCCAGAAGTGAGAGGCTGTACCTAAGCCTGGGACCTGCTGCCTTCTTAGAATCCCACCTAGTCAAGATATCAAACTGGGCATTCAGCCTTCATCCACTCTAGAAGAGCTCACAGCCCAACAGACAAAAAAGTCTGCAGGAAGCGCTATACAACTTGGATTTCAAGTATCACCTGCCAGACACAAGACCCATAAAACTCACTGACCTTCCCTGAGCCTCAGTTTCTTCTATAAAAATGATACAAACATCCAACTGAGAGAAGGACAGTGAGGATTAAAAGACAAGACCTGTCCAGTGCCTGGCCCTGCCCCCTCCCAAGCAAATACAGAGTATTACAAGGTGTCCCAGGAGGTCTCCTCTCAGCAGGTAGCACACTCGTAGGCTGGGTAGGATCACACAAACTGTCCCTCAGCTCTGATATTGGCCCCTGGATAAACACATGGTGTCTCATGTCAGCTTAAGCCCTGAGTGGTCTGAGCTTATGACTCATGCCACTTATTGGGGGTCAATACACAGGCCTAGCCGCAAGCCCAAGGGACCCTGGAGGAAAGGCAAGGAAGTCCAAGATCAAAATCAAGGGCTCCACAGGTCCCAAGTCCCTTCTACCTGCTGTCCCTGTCCTTTGAAACTGCCCCAAGGAAGGCTCAAGTATTCCCCCTCTTCTGGGCCCAGCATTAGTAAGGGAACACACCTGACTGCATGCAGAGATCCCTCAGGACACTGTCCTGGCCTCTGCTGTCCTCACTTCATCAGCTCCTAGAATTTTACACAACATCTGTACACCAAACAACCCCATCTTTCCTCACAATCAAGGATGCCTCTAGGTGACGCGCCATGAACTCTTCCAGGAAGAAGCAGGACACCAAATGCCCCCAGCCTCTTGTACTTGACTCAGGTCTTGAATTAAAAGCTGGGAGTACCCTCCACAACCCATTCCTCCTGCCAGTCCACACCCACATCCTCTCCCTAAAAGCAAGTCCCTGCCTTCCTCCAACTTCTCTGCCTCAACCCTGGTCTAATGCATTCAGCAAATGTACCTGGGCCTGGGGAAGTGGCGTCTTCCATAAATTGGCCTGCTGCACACATCCGGACTCTACCTGCATCCTTGTCCACCTAAGATCCAGCGCAATCTTTCTTACTGGAAAATTTGATTATTCTTGCCCTAGTCACAGCCCTCTCAGTGCCTGTAGAGTAAAATGTCAAGTGCTGAGCCTCTCACCAAAGACTTGATTATCAAACAGCAGCCTCCTTTCCTGCCAGTTCCCTCCTGGTTCACAAGACCACTGTCCTGACACCACTTCAGTTCTCACCAAGGCTCAGACATTCATTTGCCCCATTCCTCTGTCACCACCCAGCTTTACATAAAGCTTCTCTGCCCCAAGAAGATGAAGCCATTCAGTGCTTAGAGGGAAGGGTGCAGGTGTACAACAAACAGCAGCTAGAGTCCTTAGGTTTGCACACACCTTCTCCTGAGTCTCATTTGCTCATCTGTCCTTTCTTCCAAACCCTCTCAGCTAGGTTCTCCATTCACTCTGAAATCCTCACTGTTCTCTGATATAATTATTATGGTCAACAACTGTCTTCCCACAGACGATAAGCATTGTGGGGCGGGACCCATGTGTGTCCCTGTGTAGTCAGCTGAAGTTCCATTGTCAGCACTCAGTAAATCAGTTGGGTGAGGGAAAAAAGAGCTCCAGGGCTACTGGGAACTCTGGTTACTGCAGGAAGAAACAGGAAGCAAAGAAGGCAGGACAGACAGCAGGAGTCCAGAGTAGCCTGAGCCTGAGTTTTCTTCCTTCTGTGACTCCCGATCCTCGGAGGGACTCAGACTAAGACAGGAGGAAGGAACCAGATCAGCTGCCCAATGAGGCTTACCCTGAGACAGGGGAAATCTGTTTAAAAGGTGTATGTCTGGATCATCAGAGTTTTTCCCCTCCAAATTTCCAAAGAGGAATAGATTTGTGAACCTCTAACTTCTGTAACTCCAGCACACAACAGTCTTTAAACACGACAAACATTAAACTGGGGTAAGTGCTGCAGCTTAATTGTTGTTACATCCTGATAAATAAGCTAAAAATGTGAGAAAACAAAATCAGTTTAGAAAAACTGATATAGCCCTCGGCTTCATCGTTTAAGTTTTTATGGTTGCCATGACAACCATGGGTCCATTTATTAAGTCATAGCGTCCCCTGTGTAATGTCACGGCACAGGCAGCACCAGGGGAGCTGCCGGGTGGGGACTTACTTTGAAGTCATCCGGAAGCAGCAGTTTGGACGTCCGCAGGAAGCTCAGGACATAGCGGAAAATTTCCCCATCCCGGTCAATGAAATAATGTTGCTTCAAACTGTCCAGGACGATAGGTTCAGTGCCATTGAAGAGGCGGCTTATTCTGGGAGAAACAGGCAAGGTAGATGTAGGAAGGAACGGGCTGGGTCCAACTGTCCTGTCCTCAATCCTCAGTGGCCACCCTGCTGGAAGGGCCACACTTGGGGCAAAGTAGAGACTGTGCCAGTTCTGACAGCTCTCTGCACAAAACTGGGCCAGCCAGACCACCATCATATAGGACACCGGAGGAGTCATAAACACATGCCACCTACACACACAATCCACAGTGGGACAGGGACACACCCAGTTGTACAGGCTGACACATGTTATAGGGCTGAAAAACTACAGCAAGGCAGGCATGGTGACATAAACCAGTCATGGAGCTGATGCCCATATCCTCAGAGACAGACCCACCCAAAAACCACAGACTGACCACCTAATAACCCAGTCAACAGCCACATACCTGATGGACATAAGTAAATCAGCCACCAGTCACTGGGGTCACACAACCTTTCTTTCAATTCCTATCACTAAACAATCAGACACAGCACTCAGACAACAGGCAGAGCTCATCTGGACCCCTCCCTTGCAACTCGCAGATCTTAGCCGGTTAGACACATAGTCAACACAAGCCACCCAGAGATACAAAGTCATAAATAGCCCACAGCCATAGAGACACACAGGCAGGCAGAAGGGACAGTATGTGTACCACAGTAAACATACACAATAGTGTGCTTGTACACACGCCAAGCATACGTGTCCATGCCACAGCACCAGCATTCATACATGCTATACCACGTGCATAGCTAGTAGGGACCAAGTCTAGAAGGGAAGACAGTTTTGCCAGCACCTGTCCTTGGAAGGACAGTGGCTCTAACAAATTCAGGGTCTGTACGAAGCTCTTGGGGACTCCCTGATCCCACCCCCTACCCATTCCAAGGAGGAGGAACCAAGCGTCAGAGCCAGGTCTTATACATCCCAAAAGCTAAGGTACTGGGCTCTGGTTTGGTCAATAGCCCTGCAGATCCCAGGCTGAGTCAGAAGCCACAAAGAGGGATCTAAACCACGGCTCAGGAATAGGAAGGATGCTAGCAGGCTCTATCCGGTGATGAAACTACTAGACATTCTCAGGGCTCCTTTGATGACAGGACCACGTATTCATACCTAGAAAGACCCAGCCAAGGTAGCAACTTGTCTGCAAGCCAGCGAGAAAGGTGGTCTGACTTGGGCCTATCAGGCTAGCTTATGTAAGCCAGGGCCTAAATGTCCCCACTCTGCCTGCACCAGCCCACACCTTCCAGAGATGTTCTCTTGGTCCCAATGGCAGCCCATTCCGCTATCCATTCCAAGCCAGTCTCTCCCAAGGCTCTGCCCTACTACTCATTGTGCACACCAGAGCACAACAGCTGGACACAAGATGAGGGACTCATAGCCCCCAAATCCCTCTTGGACCTCCCAATTTACACCAAACTATGCCCAGTGGCCTGGCACACTCAAGGAATTAGCCACGTAGACTTGTCCAGTTGAGAGTTGGTATGTCATCACCTGTTCTCATTCTGGAGATACTGCCTAGCCCGTCTCAATGGGGCAAGATAAAGGGCAAGGCTGCCAGAAGGATGGGCACACACAGGTTGGGCCAGTGGTGAGGTATGTAAAGGTTCAAGTTGTTGGAATCAGAACAATGGCTACCCAGATACTTCTCAGAGCCCCAAAGGCCACTGAGCTCATCAACCTCCCTGGCCTGGTGACGGTGGTCCCTTAGGACACAGTCTGTGTTAGAAAGCCTTGTGAGCTCCATGATTTACTGCAGCTTTCAAAGCAGCCAAGGCCTGGCTTCACAGAACTTGGGCATTCAGCTGTCAGAGTGAGGGCCACCCAGCATCTCTGGAGACAGAAATGACTAAACAAGGCTGTCAGGTGCCATGAGCAGTGGCTGGTTGACAGACAGGCAAAGGTCCACACACAGCACTGGCAGGAAGCAGTTGCCACGTCCACAGGTGAGTCAGCAGATCTGAGGCCTCAGCCTGCGTGGGAACTCTCCCCACCTCTCCTGGCTGAGCTCAAACTGTGCAGCAAGCCATGTGCTTGGCCTGGCTGAGTTTCAAATCTCTCTGATGTCAGGGCTGACTGGGGCTTCAGAGAGTCGTGTTGGTCTACAGGCCTCTGGATCTACCCACACCTGGCTGGTTCTAGGTCTTCTCATGGTTCAGGATCTGTTGCAGGACCAACTGCCAGCTGGGCATCTCCACATAGCACAACCACTTCACACGCCCCTAGCATCTGAGCCTACCAAGGAAGGTTTGAATAATCACCACGAAGGAACCTCCAGCCTCTTTCTTGCAAGGTCTTAAGGACAAACTCCTGCCATGACATCCTGGGTTCTTTGGTGGCTCCATGTGCCCTGTGCAAACAGCCACAGGCCATCCTTTGAGGGAAGGCTGCAGAGTGTTGGGGGTGGGGGCAACTTTAGAAGTCCTCTGTGGAATAAGTGAATGAGTTCACATTTTCACAGCTGGGACCCTTGGGGACGGAAAGGGCACAGTCCCACCACTGGCCTCTGGTGTGAAAGGGAGGCATCACATCTTCATCTTCATCACGTCTCTGGCTCCAGTTTCCTGGATGTTTCAATGTAAGGTTTTACTAGATCTGAAGCTCCTGGCCAATTCCATCTATTGCTCCTCACAGCCAGGATGGATATCAATGTAATGTTGCACTGGTGACAGCTAGGTGATGTCTAGCAGGCAGGACAAAAGGGAGAGGCAGAGTCCACTTCCAGCCCCAGGCAGCTGTGCTGAGTGAGGACCAAGCACTCTTCCTGGGGACCTGCATCAGGCCCTCAGCACGCAAACCACTGGGACGAGACAAGAACAAGAGGCTGGGCACAGTGCTGTGGGCACAGGAAACTGGTGGAAGGGTCCTTTGGCTCTTACAGGCTCTCTGCCTAGAGTGGCAGTGGGGAACAATGACATCCAGAAACTCTCCGGGTAAAGGATTTATCTATTTTTCTAGAACTGTTGAAAAGTAGTTTTATATTACAGAAGAACCAGAGAGATCCAAGGGGCCCTTTCTAGCACAGCTACTTCTCAGATCCTGTCTGACCCCTGTCCTCGGACTGTCCTACAGGTTCTGACAGCCCCAGCCTCTAGGCCAGAGCTGTAGGCTCTATAATGAACCAGAAGCAATCCAGGCAGAACAACAGATTCATCTTGAGCCCCAGCCCTGGGAAAGAATGCAGACTGCCAACCCCTCTGGGCACATCCTGCTGGCTGAGGGTCCCACTTGACAGATCATGGGACCACGGGAGGCTTAGTTCCCCAGCAAGACCACATACTCCACTGCAAAACAGGGCAAGAATGAGCCACACCGTGGCCTGGGAGGGAAGGCCATCCCTCCCCTCCTCATTCCCAGGCAGCTGCCCAAAGACAAAATAAGCAGGAGGCTCTCTTAGATAAGGACTGGGCTGTCATTGCTCCAGAAAGGCACATGTCTGATTTTAGAAAACTCTTCCGAGAGGGTTGTAGGCAAACATTTTATGAAACTCACAAACATCACCAACCGATTAAGGAATGATCTATCTCATACAACTCAGGAATGCCTCAGAAGGCAAAACTGAAATTAAATAAGCAGAATCTATCTCCCATCCTAGACAGGGCTCTGCAAGTGAGCACATGGGCTGACACGGCCCCTCCCAAGTCACAAGTTCATAAGACACCACATGTAGTCTGTCAGACTGAGGGCACGAAGCCCCAGCCACCAGCTATACCCCTGGTTACCCAAATCCTGTACTGGGCTTTCGAGGGGACACATTTGTCCCTGCCCAGGAATCTACCTACCCTCAAATAGCTCCAAAAATAAGCCTGCCCTGTGCATGTAGCCTTCTGTGGCCTGAGCAACCACACCAGTGACAAGGCAGCCTGACACATGAGCTCCCCAGAGACAATACCCAGTGTCTAGGGGATTAATTAGTTCTTCTTCTTTTAAATGTATAAAACCAGGGTGATGCCCTACAGCTTTGGCTCTCCCACTGTTCAGCCCTCAGTGGCCCCAGAGAACAGTGGCCACAGTTCTGCTGTGCCAGGAACAAACAATCACAGGCTCAGCAAGCAGAACAGTGCTCCAGGAGATGCTCTGAGACACAGCCCAGCTCTGTTGGCCCTGCTGCCATGCCAGGGGGAATCCTCACAAGACTACCCTTAAGACAGAAACATCCAAGAGGCAACAACAGCAAAGGTGCCCAGTGCCTTGCATGGACCAAGAGTCAGGGCAGCCTAGCATCTGCAGTGTGGGTGCTCCCTTCTGGGAAGGGGAGTGATTATAGACACGTTATCTACTACAGGACATGGGCTTATGCTCAGCCACTGCCTCAGATATTCCTGAGTATCTTGGAATACCTAGCTGGTCACTGTAACAGCTATCTTTGTGGGACTCTCTGTGGGTCTGGCAGTAGCCAAACAGACAAAGGGAAAAAAACTCCAGCTCCTTCTCTTTCCCTTTATGCACATCCATGACAGGAAACAGAATTAAATATTTACACACACACACACACACACACACACACACACGCACACGCACACGCACACGCACACGCACACAGACAACTCCAAAATGTACTTAACATCCTTGGCCCTGAAGAGACCAAGCTAAGTCTTACTGGAGAGGAACCTGAAGGTTCATGAGACTCCCCAGCTAGCTGCTGGCCAGGCTCAGGGAGGGTTGGCTCTGAACAAGTCTAAGCCTCTGCTAGCAGGTCAGGTGCTCCACCTCACAAGACCAGTGCCACTAATGCAGAGTTACAAGCCGTTTGGAAGCTGCTTTTAACTAGCAAACTCAGCTTCCCAAGCCTTAACTCCCAGGGTCTGCATAACCCTATACATGCTGGAGAGCCCTGTATGGCAGCCAGCAAGGGAGACAAGCCCGCTGCATCTAGTTGCAGACACTACTCCTTACCGCCACATGCCTGGAACTTGGAAAACTTGCTCTTACCTGGAGTCGGGGTATTTGGTGAGCGTGGCCAGGCTGCTGGTATACATGTGGCCACCCACATCGATGTGCACGGGTGCGTTGGACTTGGTAAGCTGAGCTGGCAGTGGGATCCCCTGGGCAGCCAGGGGAGACACGGGCGACCGGGTGAGAGACAGCCGGGACATGTTTCCTCCCTCCTGGAGATAGAAACGAGGCAAAAGACACAACAGTTTTTACACAACACAGCCATGTACTCTCTTTTATTGTGAGTGTGATCACAGATCTAATCAGATCACTTCTGCCTGTGCCTGATCACATATTCAGCTGACAAATTATGGCCATCACTATAATTAAGTGTATTTGCATCATTTTCTTCAAAGTACCAGGGGGGGAGAGAAAGATGCTTATTAGCAATAAGGAACCAAGAAAAAAAATTTTCAAGGTGTCAGCCTCCAGGGGCATAAAACAAACTGCAAAATTCTAATTAAAGGTCGCAGGCTTATGTGTTAGATGTGAAATATCCCCTGACAAACGAATCATCAATTTGTGAATTGGGATTCAGGGGTTTTTGCAAGTTTGTTTCTGAAACAAGACACCTCTAAATTAGTGACTTCCTCAGCACCTAAGGCATTGGGTTTTATACATGCAGTAAATTTCACATCAAATTAAAAAGCATTTTTGTTTCAAAAACTACATAATCACACAGCAGTCAACAGTTATCTCTTGAGCACTGAGGCCGAAGAAAGGGCAGCCAGTGAGCAGACACCCTGAAAAAAGGCAGTAAGGGGGCTAACAGCTCGGATACGACCCACCCCACAGGCTCACCGCGGTGCCAGCGCTGCCGTGTGTGTGAAGTGAGGACCCACTCGGCCGCTCCTTCCGGTGAGGCATCTAGGCTTCCATTGCTGCCCAGAGTATCTGTGCGAGGGAGCAACAAACCAGAGGGGACTTACTTCTCAGCAGTGGTGGGTGCCAGTTTTCTCTGGAGTCAAAGATACTTAGGTTTCTCCTTTCTTCTCGAGCTCTGGGAACCCATGCACACCAGGCAGCCCTCCTAGAGTCCAGCCACCACTACCCTTGACTCCATACCCCAAAGCAGACCCCCCCGACATCGTTTATTGTGCATGCACACATGTATACACACACACAGACAGACACACACACTCACTCACATATGTGTTTTCTGGGCAGCTCCATGTCTGCTAATTCGGCTAATGACAGCACTGAAACATATGCTCACCATTATTGCCCCGAAATGTTTCAGAACAAATCTGATTTTCCTGGTATTTTGGTTTAGAGCCATGTTACCAAGCGTGTCTCCTCTTGCATCAGCGGAGAACCTTGTAGACTGCAGCTCAGGAAAGATCCCCCACCCTCTGTGGGCCAAGGAGCCCAGGACCTCTCTCTGCTGTGTCAAGATGCAGTTTGCAAGTGGTGGGGCACAGGAAGCCTCTTTCAGCAGGAGCCAAGGCACAGAACTGAGAGAACGTCACTTCGGAAGCTACCTCTGTGGCTCTGAATAGCAGAGAAAACCTGTCTTTGTTTGCCTGGTCTGCACCTCCCAGTTTCCCTGCAGACCTCGAGGATGGAGTTGTCTGCGCCTAATGTATTCCAGACCCCCTTAGGATCACGTACCCCAGAGGCATTAGAGAGCTGACCAGACAGCCATCAGCAAATGGATCCGCCTCCCTTTCCCAGAGCCACTTTCCTCTTTGCCACCACCACCCAAAATAAGATTGTCCCCTCAGTCCCAAGAAGCCACCCCTAGGGCACTTTACAGAGTCTCAGCAGGGAAAGTGGCAGGTTTCTGTATCCCCTCGAACTGACTTGAGGCTGCCTTACACACACACACACACACACACACACACACACACACACTCAAGCACAGAGGCACACATGTACACTGGCTTCCACAAACCTGACCTGGACTTCTCGGTTTAACCCTTAGTGAGAAATCAAATGACATAATGACATCTCCAACCCCCAAAGACTGCCTTCTCCTCTTAAACTCTGGCTTAAAACAATGTTCAAGAGGAGTCCAATTCTGTAAAAGTAGGCTTTCTCGAAGAGACTGTTCTGCCTGGAGAGTCCTGGCAAGTTCTCTGACCTGAAACTGCTTGGGAGTGGGGATCAGGGTTATACCCTTAGTGGGGACAGGCTGCTCCATCCTTTGCTTTTAGCATTCCTGAGTTCCGGAAAGCTTAAAAAAGAAAACCAGCTCATTTATCTCAAGGAAGTTCTGAGAAACCAAAACAGACCTCAGGAATGGATTATTCTGCCCTGGGAGGCTCTGCTGGGGGAGGAGTCAGAAGGGAACACCGAGGGTAAACTGAACTGAAAGGAATTCCGACTGAAATTCTATCAAAGCCTGCTGCAGGATGTTTTCTCCACTACCAGGACACAACTCTAAAGTGACAACTTAACACTAAGCACCCGTCATCTAACTGCTCCATGCTGTACACATGCAGCGACTTTCCCATCCAAAGCACAACCTGATGTTGATGGCAAACCAGAAACTCACCACTGGAAGCCCCAGGCGTTATGCCTCCACCCGAATCTCCACGGCTCCCATGGACAAACACATTTGTGCCGGACAACGACCTTTTCCCCGAGACCACTGCTGAGGGAGGCCAGAAGCATAAAAGTGGACACAGTGAGAAACAGCAGTTCTTTCCACCAACAGCATCACAAACCAAGACCCAGCCCCAACCCCAGCGCGCACCGGCCCTCCCAAGGCTCTGCCAAGCTGCCTGTTGCAGGGGACCGTGGGCTTGCAGGTTTGCAAACGGCCCAGAATTGACCCCCTTCTCTGAGACGCCGCAGAAGCCTGGGGTCCCAAGCCCGCCCCGCAGCCGAGCCCCGCCCGCCTGAGCAGAGGGAAGTGAGCAGAATGCCACGCTCATTTACACACAAAATGATTTTGTGTCCCATTGTGCTCGCAGTTGTTCAGCTCTCTGGGGGTGATTAAACTGGCTGAGCTGCGGCAGCTTGAGACGATTTCACTAAATCGCTTCTTCATGAAGTCGCTTCTTTGCTAAGCTGTTATTTTAACCATAAAAGGTAAACAGAAGGCGCCTTTCGAGCTCCCTTTCAGCTCCACGCCCTGGGCGCTGGCCCCGGGCGAGAGTGCCAGGCGCCTGCAGAATTGTCCAAGGGGAGGGCCAGGAGGAAGGCAGGAAGGCCGGCCACCTGGTGCGCGCCAGCCCCGCCGCCTCGCTTGCCGGCCGGTGTGAACTTCAGGGCCGCAGGAGCCGGCTGGGCCAAAGCTCTAGGCGCCACCGGGTGGGATGGCCGACCCAGGCATCCCAAGCGCAGGGAAGGGAAGGGAGGGGTGTGAGGCGGGGGCGGGGACAAAGTTAAATCAAGAGGCAGACACTTCGAGACCACAGATGGGAAGCTCGCCTAATTAAGGACGTAAAAGCGCTTTTGTTCTCAAAGTTTATTGTTGCTGGGATTTAAAAAAAATTAATTGAAACTAATGCTTTTATTCACTCGTGCAGTTAAATTCCTTCATGCACATTTGAGACACCGAGTGAAAACTTGAAGCTTTAATCTTTCTGCAGTCGGGGGGTGGGGGCTTCAGGAAGGCAGAAAGGCGCTTGCTGCGGAGGGCGGGAGATTGGTGGGGGAGATTTGCGGGTGGGTGCCTGGCGTGCGCATTCAGGTCAGGGGTATGAGTGGGCAACAGAGAACTGAAGGCGGCGATCGCTGGGTCTCAGCGCTGCCAGCTCCTGGCACCCAACCCGCGCGCCTGGGACGACCACCAGCGCGCCATCCCCGCCCGCCTGGCTTTGGACTCGCGGGGTGGGCGTCTGAGGACTCACATCTGTCCCGTTAGAGACTTTTTCTTTCTCTGATTTGGGCGCCAATCCGGCCCCTGTGCACATCGCAGTCCAGCTGCGACAGTCTGTTTTTGACCCCGGAAACTCGCCGCTCTGCAGGGCACTTGGCCGGGTACTGGAGGCAGAGTGCGGGGAGCTGCACACACACATACACAGCACGGCAGAAAGCTTAGAGCACGCCCGCCCGCGTGGGGAGGGTCCACCCGTGCCCAGGACCAGCCCACGTGGGCACCCCCCTCCGCCAGGCCTTTGTGCTGGGCGCCCCCGTGCCGCCGGTCCCCGCCGCCCAGCAGAGGGACAAAGCAGCCGCCCCCGCCCAGGTCCGGACCCTGGCCGGGCGACTTTCTCCGTTTTGCAGCCACTTTGGGGACGGGTACGTGGCGCTGAGCGCTGGCCGCCCGCGCTGGGCTTACCTCAGAGCCGGAGCGGTGGATCGGACTCGGGCGCAGCCCCCGCCCCCCGCGGCCGCTGGTCTTGGGCGCCCAGCGCAGCCTCGCCGCCTAAGCTAGCTGCGCGGGTCGCTCCGGTCTCGTCCTGGAGTTACTTTCTCTCTCGCCCCCAACCCTCCCCCCACCCACCCCTCCCGCCCTGGCCCCCGCTTCGCGCGGCCCCTCGCGGCGCGGCGCGCCGGGGCCTCTCCTCCCCGCCCTCCCTTTGCCTCCTCCCCTCCTCGCGGCCGCCGCTGCCGCCTCCTCTTCGCGCCGCTCTCCGGCTGCCCTCCCGCCGCTCCCACCTCTTCTCCTCCCTCTTCTCTCTCCAGCGGCCTCCCCCGATTGCTGGAGAGGAAACCAGCCCCCAAACCCAGCTCTTAGCCCGCGCCTAGCCGCTGCCCTGCTTGGACGCAAAGGGCAGCGATCCGGCTCCAAATTACCCAGCGCGGCGAGCGCGAGCGGGCGCGCGCGGCGACTCCTGGCTCGGGGCTCGGCTGCGCCGCGGGGCAGAGGATTAGAGTCGCAATTAGCTCCGCGCGCCCGCGCCTGCCGCGCTCGGCGACAAAAACGCGCTGTTTCCCCTCCTTTCGCCCTGCGCGATCCCCACCCGTGTCTCGGCGAGTCGGAGCCTTCCCGCCGGGGCCTCCGCTAGGACCCTCCCGGGAGCGGTGCGCCCCGGCCCCCGCGCCCTGCGCGGCCCAGCCCCCCAACCCCCGCCGGCCGGCCACGCGGCGCCCGGGCCTCCTCCGGGCTCGGAGAGGGGGCGGGGGAGAAGCTGATTTTAATCATTGTCATTTCATCTGATGTAATATTTCTCCGGGCGCTTTCAGCTGGGCATAAATTTTCGGCTCCCAAATAAGTAACACAGGGCACGTTTCTCACATTTCTTGACTCCTCGGTTACAAAGAGGAAAGCAGCCGCCGCCGCGGCGCCCGGGGCTGGGGGCGGGACTTGGGAAGAAACTGGGCTGCGAGTCTGCCGGGGCTGGAGCGGAGCCCGGGGTCAGGCGCCCCTTCCCCGTGCCGGCCCCCACCCCGGGTCTCTGCCCCCGCTGCCCCTCTCCGGAGTAGCAGCGCCGCCCGTGACGTCTGCGGACGCGCACTCGGCCACTGCGGGGGAGGGGGCACCCGGCCGGCCGCCCGCGGCCAGACGCGCCATTTCCTTTGCGCGCGCCGCGCGATGGAGACGGCGATGGCCAAGGCTCCTCGCGACGCCGAGGCCTGCGCCCAGGGCGTCCCTCGCCGGTGCCCGCACCAGCTGTCCCTTCCTTTTCCTCTCCTATCTCCTTTCCTTTCTCTTCCTCCTCTTTCCTCTGCGCCCCACCCGATCCTCCTCCTCTTCCTCGACCATTTCTCCTAGCAAAGGAAACGCGGCTGGTACGCCTGGCCCGCACTGCGCCCCCGCCTGGCTCCCGGGACGCCCGGGCCAGAGTCAGGCTCTGGCAGCAGGGCGGGTGCGACCCGGCCGAGAGCGGCGCAGGGTCCCCCTCCACGAGCGCCGGCCAGGCCTGAGCGCCCTCTAGCTGCTGCACTCCGTGGAGGGGGGTGGTGCTCGGGGCTGCCACTGGTAGAGGGCTGGAGGAAGACCAGAAAGAGGTCGGTCGGGGTCAGTCTCTGTGGACTAGGGAACCTCGCGCGCGGAGGGAGCCGTGCTTCTGTAACTTCTCCACGCGTAGATAAGCAGAAACTTTCCTCCTAAGGGAGAGTTTGTTTGTTTGTTTGTTTGCGAGCTTGAACTCCTGGAGAAGGGGGAAATTTTTTCATTAAAGTTACATCCCTGCAGTTAGTTCAATTACTTGATATATGCAGAAGATGTTGTAAATTTATAGATTTAAATAGCTTACAAAGATGCCGCAGGCCCCATCAGTTAATTTCCTTAATTTATGGATTTTAAGCTGCTCCTCGAACAGAAAGAAGGCCCTGGAAGTAGGTCAGGGATCTGTGCAACGAGGCTGCCCACTTGGGCTCTCCAGGCTCTAGAGCCCTGGGGCTCCTAGCTCCCAGCTTACCTAAACGGCCCCTGGCTGTGGGGGCTACAGCCGGGGGAGGTCTGCTCAGCTGTACGGCTGACTGCCCAGTTTATCCGATGCTCTGCAAAACCTAGGAGCAGCAAAACCCCTGCATTGGAGGAACGGACTCATAAGTGAAGCAAGTACCCAGATCCTGCGACCTCTTGGGGTTCTTCCTAAATCCTGGCTGGGGTCACCAATGGAGGAAGTCACGTGTGAGCGCTCCCAACTTGACGGACCGAACCTTTCCTGTCCTTTGAGGGGGGAACAATGAGAAAAAAATACAACAGGCTTTGAGGAGCAGGGACCCACAGAAAACTTGCTTGTCACAGTCCTTGTTGCCCTCAGTGCCCCTCCTTTTCCCTTCTCTTAGAAGACACACCACCTGGCTGCTGGTGTGTCTTTGTTTTGTGTTCCATATGGATGAATATATACATATGAATTAATACTTAAAAGATCGGTACCAACTCTACTGTTTTCGGAAGCCACATAGCACTGTGATTAGTATTGGTATTCATGATTTAACATTTCTTTTCCCACTAGATGAAGTTTCTAAGATTTGCAAGGTACATGTCAAGGACGGGTATATAAATGGATTTTTATTTATTCACAACTCCAAGACTAATTGCTTCCCTTTGCCTCAAGGCCACGAGATCGGTTTTAATATGACAGTTCAAAAGTATTCATGGAACTACACAGATAGTAAGTGTCATTGTTTAAGAGACAAATCTCACCGTGGTGCTGCTGACCCTGAAAATAGGATGTTTCCACTTTAAATTCCAAAATGTTTTTTTAAAGAATTTCATTTTATACCAACTATATTAAAAATGCACAATTTAATCGAAGCAAGAACTGACCATTTTAAAAACCTTGATATCCTGAATACTGCTGGGAACTTTGTTTTCATATTCTGAATCCTTTTATTAAAGAGTTGAACATTATATGTGGCATTAAGATTAAGTTTAGGCTATAATTTACTCTCAAATGTTTTAAAAGTTCCTGGCTAAATGTAAGCCATCCCTTATATCAAGAGATGGGGACCTGTAAAAGGCATATAATGGTCTGTGACATGTAATGCAATGGTGATGTATTTTTTAATTGAAGATGTATAATTAGGACTGATAGCATATTGAGACATCTCATGGAGTACGTACGTTGTCTTTCATTATTATGGTCCGAGAGATAAAATTGGATGTGAGTGTAATCAGAATTTTCTTTATCATTAAGATTTCACAGGCACTGAAGCCATGGCAGTTCTAGTTTAAAAGGCAGATTCAAATCTGTGCTTGCTTTGGTGTCACTCTGTATGTTACCATGCGAAGCACAAGGAAGGTCAGGTTGCACAGGATGCAAAACTGAGGGCAAACCTGGAGGTTCCAGATGTTTCAGGTTGACTCTCAGCGTGATTTTGAACTTCATCATTGTTGCTGTTACAGATCAGGTTTAAAAATTAGAACTTTAATAAGGAAGGTAAAATGAACCCCAGAGAAGATCACAGTCTGCACAATCCAACTCTCCTGGCATGAACAAACAGGTAAACTGACTGAGGGACCTGACTACTTCCACCACCAGGCTCCCTGGGTTGAAGATGAGACCCTCCTAGGTATGTTCCTACCTCACTCATGAATCCTGTCCAGGCTGGGATTGAGCCACACTGGTCCAGAGCTCACAGTCTGGTGTTCACTTGCTCCAGCCCCTACTATGGAAATCTTTCTCAGTCTTTCCTCCTGGACAAAAGCCCAGAAAACTAGAGTCCAAAGGGAAAGGTGAAAGTGAAGCTGTTAGTGCTGTGCACCCACCAGATCTCCCTTGCTGATAATTGAGGAGAGTACACAAAAGCAACTCACACCGGCCGAGCTCTGCTCCATCACCGTACTGGAGGTACTTAGGATTCCTGCTGGAAAAGAAAGCAGGGCTATCTGCAGGCCATGCCCTCTTTTCTACCTTTTGCCTAAGGCCCAGATATACTGATCAAAGCCAAATGAACCCTACCCTCTGGGGAGCCAGTGTTGTGGTACCCAGCACTGGCTGTCTTGACCAGATGTAGTGGTCTGTGGATGGCTCTCAGGGAGCCAGAAACAGCTCCCTCCAATTGCTCTGCACCTGAGCTAGTTGCTGAGAGTCATTTCAGTGTTTTCACCAAATTTTCAAGGGTCTATGTGTATTTAAATTGATAAGCAAGTGGCAAATGCTACCTCAGAGTGGTTTCGTGGGAGGTATGTTGGTTCCATGAGTTGACTCAGAGTTCATTCCGTGGCTCTGCAGCATATTTCGGGATCATGGTCTCCCTAGTTTCTCCGTCAGTGCAGTGTCCTGACCTCTTACCACTTCTCTGGTCTCACAATGGAGCTCAATGTCTTACACCTACCTAGACAACCATGGAGACTGAGGCAGTTATTCCAGCCTCTTCTCTGTAGTGTTGGCCCAAATAGAGTCCCTGGGGACTTGGAAGCCAATCGCTGGGAAGGAATTTGGCCAATCAGGTTGATTTCCTGGGGTAGAGGGGACTGAGGTTCTTTCCTTGGGAGGAAGGTGGATAATGGGTAAAGATGGGCTGTACCTGGGGGAAGGAGGAGAGGATCTGTTTTGTGTTCAGGGCTGGGTCCCTGAAGTTTGCAAGCCATTTGGTTAGGGCCCATCACTTAAGGGGAGTAGAGACTAAGTGAACAAGCCCCAAACCAAGGAAGCTTTAAAGACAGTGTTGGCCTCCCCTGACTTCCAGCCACACCTTCATGAGATGTAAAACCCAAGCGTGAGAGTGGTTGCCCAGCCAGGCCACTGTCCCCAGGCCCTCTACCTAGATTGCTCTCAGGGCTCATTCCTATCTTCTGAGCTGGATCAATGAGGCCCTGAGAGCCTCCAGGCAGCCCCTTGGGGGATGGAGGAGGAGGCTGTTCCCAGTTAACAGCAACTGGGGAAATGAGGGTAGCTGGTCTGGATGCCTGGCTTTGGGCAGAAGCCCAGGAGCAGTCCCCAGGACCCAACCATTGATGAAACAGAGAAGGTTATTGGAAAGAGGAGACTGCTGGAAGCAAGGGGTGCTACCAAGGGCCTCTCTGGAGTCCTTCAATTTCCTAAGTCAACACAAGCCCAGTCTGGACTCCTGGGAGAACAGTCCTAACCACTG